AAAAATTAGCTGGGCATGGTGGCGCGTGCCTGTAATCCCAGTTACTCAGGAGGCTGAGGCAGGAGAATTGCCTGAACCCAGGAGACGGAGGTTGTGGTGAGCCAAGATCGCGCCATTGCACTCCAGCCTCGGTAACAAGAGCGAAACTCCGTCTCAAAAAAAAAAAACACAACATGGTTCCCAACCATGTTGGATAAAAGTAAAAAAAAAATTAAATCCTGCCTTAAATCTAACGTTCCAACAGCACAATGACTGAGGTACCTCTATAGCAGAATTGATAAAGCAGGAAGTAGCTCTCAATAAGGCTCAAGAGAGGTCAAAGTATAATTCAAAATCTACACTGGCTGTTAAGGCTGAACCAATAGAAATGGTAATGAAAAGAATTAAGACAACACATGGCCCCTGCTCATCTGCACTGTCAGATAACATCTGAAACACTGTGGTCGGTTCTGAACATTACCTTGCAACCAGGAGAGTATGAAACTAGAAATTATAGCACGTAAGGGACACTAGCAGAGAAAATGAAAATTCCCTCTAAGTAAAATCTTGGGGTCCAATAAAGGCAAATATTTTGCCAAGCGCAGTGGTTGACACCTGTAATCCCATCACTTTGGGAGGCCGAGGCAGGCAGATCACTTGAGCCCAGAAGTTCGCAACCAGCCTGGGCAACATGGAAAAACTCCATCTCTATAAAAACTAAAAAAATTAGCTGCGTATAGTGGTAAACACAAGTAGTCTCAGCTACTTGGGAGGTTGAACTGGGAGGATCACCTGAGCCCAGGAGGTCAAGGCTACAGTGAGCCATGATCAAAAGTCTGTCTCAAAACAAAAAACCAACAAAAGAAAAAATCTTCCAGAAATGGTTCTTATGTTGTATTTGTTTTCCTTGAGGGGAAAACTAAAAAAAATAAAAATAAAAAACCAGAAGGGCTTCAAAATAGAAAATTTCTGAAGCTATGCCCAATTCAGTGTTTCTACTGCTCAATACACAGGACACTTAGAAAAGCCTTCTCACACCAGGCTTAACTGAATTGTTACCTTTCCTCCTGCTGTGACTGTTTCTTCCTCCTGCTCATCTGCAAAACCAAAACATAAAATTTATTTTAAAAACAGGTAAATGTTCTTTGGGTTATTTGGAATTTATGGTTTAAGAACTGATGCTGCACAGAGAAAAGGAATGCAATAAGAGCATTATTAAAGAAAAATCACTCTGAATAATTCACTAAAATAGAATTTTACACAAAAGTAAACAGGTGATTAGAAATTCAAAGCAAAGATCATTAAAAATTTCAAACAGTGGGGAATTTATAATTAATTACTACTTGAGCTAATATCATAGTCATGATCTTACTTAGTAACAGATACAGGACTTGATCATGATTCTTGTCTCCGGAGCTGTGCTAAAATAACAACATTTTGGGTTCCAGAAGAAGTGAATAAAGAATGATGAGTAAAAAAAACAGGTGATAACCAATCCCTTCCTAATCTTAGACTATTAATGCCTTCTGAGGATAGAGGGCTCAACATGAGAGAAAGTCCAGGTAAAATTTATAAAGCAGACAGTTGATTTCCACAGTGAAAAGCATAACTGCCAGTGTAGAATAGGTAAGAGGTAAAGAACAAGAAATTACATTATCATATGTCTGTAACATTGAAGCTTTTTATCATTACTGTGACTGTTGGCACTAGGTAAGGCATGGTGAAGTTCAAAAAGAACATGGGATACTGGGTTCTGCAGTGCACACCTACAGTCCCAGACACTCCGGAGGCTGAAGTGGAAGAATCACTCAAGGCCAGAAGTCCAAGTCCAATCTGGGCAACACAGCAAGATGTTGTCTCTTATTTTAAAAAAAGGGGGGGAGGGTGGTCAGGTGTGGTCACTCACACCTGTAATAACAACACTTTCGGTGGCTGGTATGGGATATAGCAAAAATAAACAAAAATTTATCCGATTTTGAAAAATGCTATACAAAGGATAAACATAAATATGTTAGAGAGGAATTGGGTAAGTGGACACTTCAGAGCAAGTAAAGAGGTGTCTCTGAAAAGGTGGCCTTTTAGCTGAAATGTAAGAAATGAGAAAGACAAGGTAAGTATTCCATAAAATGGAAGAGACCAAATCAAAGGGCCTCCAGTTGGATTGGCTTGGTGACTTCACAAAACAGAAAGCCACTGGGAACACGAATAAAGGCTAAGTACAATAGGCAAACCACAACAGCAAGTACAGTGATACAAGGCATTGGCAGGTAAGTTAAGACAGATCAGGACCCAAATCAGGGCTTTGCCACTTAACAGTGAAATATTTGGAAAGAGGTTACCTCTTTAAATCTCCATTTCCTCATCAATAAAATGAAACTAACAGTTTAATAGTGAAGTGCAAACACATGTAGAATAAGACCTGGCAAGTACTCATGCCACCCAGAGATGAACACTGTTGCTTAACGTGTGAGTTAGTTACAAATACTTGCTAACAAGGAATTGGGGATTCTGCGTGTAAAAAAATATGGTACTAATTACCAGTGGGAGTTTTGCAGCTCTGCATAGTGACTATATTTATCTAGGAAGTAACTTACAGAAAGAAATGTAGGTAAGGCTGCCAAAAACAAACACTTTGGCCATTGGACAATGGTAAACCACAGGATAAACACACTCTTAGTAGAAAGTGTTAGTTTGACTTAACATCTCTCCCTTTACTCAAATACGTATTTTTCATCTGACAAATTTCATTCCCCAAGGTAGTCTTGGTACTCAGTGGAAAGATACCTTTGATAATACTAAAGTAGCTGATCCCTAAATGGTAATATTCAATACATGTTCTCTTCCTCCTTTCATATGTGAGAAAACATGCTCCACATCAAGCACCTGAATCCTTCAGAGACCTGAAGAATGAAAGAATGGGCTACATTTGACTAGGAAGCATATAAGGCAGAATACACAGCAGTAGTTAAAACAACAGGTCTGGCCGGGCACGGTGGCTAACGCCTGTAATCCCAGCACTTAGGAAGGCCAAGGTGGGCAGATCACCTGAGGTCAAGAGTTTGAGACCAGCCTGGCCAACATAGTGAAACCCCGTCTCTACTAAAAACACAAAAATTAGCTGGGTGTAGTGGCAGGTGCCTGTAATCCCAGCTACTCGGGAGGCTGATGCAGGAGAATCACTTGAACCCAGGAGGTGGAAATGGCTGTGAGCTGAGATCGTGCCATTGCACTCCAACCTGGGTGATGAGTAAAACCTCATCTAATTTAAAAAAAAAAAAAAAAAAAGTTCTGAGAACAATTTACAGTTGATGGATCACTGTCCAATAAATTCAACTCATATCTGCCATCAATAATAACGACAATTGCCAGGCACAGTAGCTCACGCCTGTCATCCCAGCACTGGGAGGATGAAGCAGGTTGGAATACCTCAAGTCAGGAGTTTGAGACCAGCCTGGCCAACATGGTGAAACGCTGTCTCTACTAATAATACAAAACTTAGCTGGGCATAGCGGTATGTGCCTGTAGTCCCAGCTACTCAGGAGGTTGAGACAGAAGAATTGCTTGAACCTGGGAGGCGGAGGTTGCAGTGAGCGGAGATCATGTCACTGCACTCCAGCCTGGGTAACAGACTGGGACTCTGTCTCAAAAATAATAATAATAATAATAATAATAATAATGACTGCAATTTATTCAAATACAGAATTCTCTTAATTAGAAGACAGAATTGAGGTCTCATTTTCTAAAACAAGAGATCTTGAAAATCCCTTCGAGTTTAAAATTCTGTAAACTCAAAAAGTTAGTATATACTTGAAAACATTAAGTTCTCCTTTACAAGTAAATTAAAAAAATAAAGATTATTGTCTCATCCACAACTCTCCAAAACAAAGATGTTTAAAACTACCCCTATTTTTTTTTTTAAAAAAAAGGAACAAGTGATTATACTCTTTTCTACTCTCCTCCAAAAACACTCAAGAATTATACCTTACTTGCGAAAATGTAAGACCTGGAAATACTATGAAAGAATGATGTGATTCTCATTTTACACTGCCTAGAAACTTTAATTTGGCTTACAAGGTATTAACACTCCACAAATTTTTGTACTAACGATACAATATCAATTTGCATATGTTACAAAAACAATTATTTCAGCGACACTGAAACAAGTACTTTAATTAGAATTATTTTGTTAAAACACTTATTCAAGTATACTATTACCACCTTTGTTAGGTTGTAGAAAAATACTATGCTCCCAAGAGGGGGTGATCACTAAGAATGGCAACAATGGATCATAGGAAATTAACTTTCCTGTCACAGTAGCAAACGAAGTCATAATAGTACTAAAAGTAACAAAAAAATAAAAATTAAAAAAAAACAATAGTGCTAAAAGTAAGCCACCGTTAATATCCTATAGTGGTTAAGCACAAGTCTCACTTAAGAAAGGAGTATCAAGCTGGGCATGGTGGGGTGCGCCTATAGTCCCAACTATTTGAAAAACTAATGTGGAAAAATCGCTTGAGTCTAGAAGTTTGACACTGCGATGAGCTATGATTACACCACTGCACTCCAGCCTGACTAATAAAATAAGACCTTGTCTTTTAAAAAAAAAGATAAAAGTAAGGAAAAAATAGACTATCAAAGGAGATGAAATATTCAAGAGACAAAGCACAGACCTGTGCATAGATTTTTTTGGGGGTGCTTACCTAGATCTGCTACAGTTCCTCCTTTAACAGGTGTATTTTCACTATCTTTCTTTAGGTTCACTAGAAAAAGGAAAAAAAAGAGGAAATATGTGAGAAAGTTCTCCTTCTTTTTAGAAAGAAAACAGAATAGAACATGATTAAATGACATGCATTTCACTACAATTGCAACAACTTTCAATACACACTTTCAGGTAAAAATCACAAGCCCGGCTATGAAGTATTTAACAGAAATATTTAATTATATTCTATAATTAATGACCCAATCACCATGTATTTTCATAAAAGTAAACAATAAAACAAATCAACAAAACATGAAAATAATCTTTCAATGCCTTCCACAAAAACTTATTGAAGTTTATGATGCATTTCTTTTGATTTACACTTCTATTCCATTCATTAATTTTAAAACCTAAGGAAGAACTGATACATTTTTAGTTTGAGACAGGGACTCACTCTGTCGCCCAGGCTTGAGTACAGTAGTATGATCATAGTTCACTGCAGCCTTGATCTCCCAGGCTCAAGCAACCCTTTGACCTCAGGCTCCCAAGTAGCCGGGACTATGGACGAATGCCACCATATCTAGCTAATTTTTATATTTTTTGTAGAAACATGGTTTCGCCATGTTGCTCAGGCTGGTCTTGAACTCTTGAGCTCATGCAATCCACTGGCCTCAGCCTCCCAAAATGCCATGATCACAGACATGAGCCACCACGTCAAGCCAAGTAGATGCCTTTTATATATCCATATGGATGTCAAAATATATCCTGATGGTTTTTTTTTTTTAACTCTATGTAAATGTTATCAATAGTGTGCTTAGTTCTTCTTAGCACTGACCTTTCCACGTAAGAATTGTACTACATTTCTTTCATTTTTACAGGTTCACTGTGTATTTTAAGTTAACTAGCCCTCCACTGATAGAAAGCATGTTTACTTTAAATATTTCACTGTTCAAAAACTAACATTCTTTTATAATTATCTTTGGGGGTGCATTTCATTATTTTAGATAAATTCTAAAAATAAAACAATGCAATTAAATGTACACATTTAAAAATTTTAAAAACACAGCCAAGGACAGGGGAGGTGGCTCATGCCTGTAATCCCAGTACTTCAGTGGGCTGACGCAAGTGAATCACTTGGGGTCAGGAATTCAAAACGAGCCTTGCCAATATGGTGAAACCCCGTCTCTACTAAAAATA